TACATGAGGCACGCCAATTTACATGCAAAATCAAACTATTACAGAATTTAGTCTTCACAGTTTGTGAACCTTCTTGCTATAACCTCCAAGATTATTAGTGCTGAAAGAAGCAAAAAGTTAGGACACATCAACACCTAAATCATAATTAAAGATACAAAATGCCAGCATATGGTCCTAGATGATGATTCAAAAAGAAGCTGAAAGTATAGGATTATGTGTAGTTTTAAAATAGTAACGAAAATAGCAATTTGATACACAAATATCTATCCATCCTTTTTGTCGAAGCTATTTGAGTTCATTTTATTTTTATAGATTTTATAGGGTCATGAGCAGTCTTCCTTCGTATCGAGTTGTCTAATTTTGCCTGTAATAGGATTTTTCGGTAGTAAGATAATCCAGTTCAAGGTTACTGACTCGACTTAAATAGGCATTTTGCATAATGAAGTAGCATCAATACGATTGGTTCGTGACACCCCACTAGACCGTAAGGAGCCGTAATTAAACAACATGTTCTACCCCACAGACATTGAAGTTATCTTCCCGCCATCATATTTGCTGGCCAGTAACTCAACTCTCCTTCCTTTTGTGATGTCAGTCTCTCTTACGTTTGTGGCATGTATAAATATCGCTTTAATTTAAGCTCTAGGTGGCACACATTGATGGAATACACTGGCACTACTGGTTCTATGTTACAAACAAACCAGAAAGTTAAAGCTTTTGTATTGGGTGTTAGACATCCAGTTAGTATACCACGCTGCTATGAAGATAACTAATGGCATAAGTTATAAGATACTGGTCAAACGATGTGTGATTTAGAAATGATAAGAACAGATAGCTGATCAAAGAACATGGAGAAGGAGTTTGAGGTTGCAAAATTTCAAGGATGATGAGTAAAAAAATATTCCATTTCTAGTAATGATTTTTAAAAATGTCAATACTATTGGAATATGAACTGGAAGGAACTCACAATCTTTTAAAGTATATTCTGAGATTCTTATGATTGTACAGTTTCTGATTTTCCACCTGAGCAGTCTGTAGTTGCATTACGTTTTATTTGGTCATTGTCCTAGATGTTTCTAAGGTTCAAAGTGTACAACACCACCAATAGTTGCAGACATATTAAAACTCAAGAAATATAGTTACTCAATAGTTATAAAAAGGGATATAAAGCATATAACAAAAGAACAGGATGTAGTGTTTATAAGTAATTGGATCAAGAACTACTAGATAACCACAAACGAATGTACTGTATTTAGAATTCGAAATCAAGCATTCAGCAAGTACAAAGGTATCATTAGTTCATTCAAACACCACACACGAATTGAGCGCTGTTTGGACCGCGATATGTTAAATTACAAAGGCTATTCGGGTGTCGAATAACTTCAGTTTGTAACACGGCCACTAAGTGCCAATAGTTTAGATGTTGGATGAACCATCGTTAAATGCAGCTTCGTCTAGGTAAGCTCCGTCGAGCATGTGGGAAACTTTGAACTGGTCTATGAAGCATTTTAGGGAAGATTTAAATTGAGCAAGCGTTTAACTTGACCGGATGTCTATAGGTAACCTATTCCAGAGGCTTGCATAGCATGTAACACAGATAGTTGTGTTCATTTCGTTTGATGTTCTCGATGCCTTTGGTACAAAACTCCGCTTCAGAAAGTTATGATTACTATTTTCGGAAAATTTTGAGGTGTCACAATTTATTGTATTTTTACTATACAAAGCTTTGAAAAGTAAAGTAAGATGAATTTCAAGTCGTCCTAACCACAGGGGATCCAGTTTCCATGCTTCGCACCTATCTTCACATGATAGATCGAGCACGAGAAATCTTGTAAAATAGTGCTGTACTTTCTCGATTTTTTGTAGGTCAATGGAATGTATGCAACTAAATATGATTGAGCAGTATTCTAGTGGAGGCCGAACACACCTTACAAAGGGTTATTTTAGATTCCTTGGAATGGAAATTACGGTTGACAAACCCAATAGGTCTATGGGCTTTGGAAAGAAAGACTTTTGGAATATTTCACTCCTAAGTCGTAGATGCTACTTAGCTATCTACATTTCAACCTGTTCAGTTGAAATCTTATCTGTGGATTGAACGTGCTGAAGTACATGTACCCAGGTTTTTCGGTACTAAGAGACAGAAACCATGCGTCACACCAGTCTTGGAGTTTATTCAGAACATTTTGTACTATACAGCTGATATTTGTATCGGGACGTGGGTCGAATGCATATACCACTTAAAGGTCGTCAACAAATAGAAAGGTTTGCCCAAGTTTAAAGCAATTAAATTGTTACAACTTGTGAGCCTATGTGCCCTGTTTATTGTATAACGCAACGATACCGCCAATCAGAGAGCGGCGAATTATCGACCGAACCAGTGACGCATAAAACACGTGCGAGTAGCCTAGAGTTTTGATTGGTCCTGCTTTCCGCCTAGCCCAGCCAGCTGGATCCAGAATACCAATCTCAGCCTCTGCAATATGAATCATTTATTTCAAGCATACTGGGTTTATATAACAACCAGACAGACCACAACGTACCGTAAATTATGAAACAACATTTGTACAAGAATTAGCCAAATATGGCTATCAGTGAGGGAGATAGTAATTAATAGACAGAGCATAATTCAAGAATGGTAAATCGTATAATAATACTTCATAGATCAAAATAAAGCTCATAGAAAGAGGAACATGAATATGAACATTTTGGTTACAAAACAATTATACGATGAAAATATACTCATAATATTGGTCCAAAAATGAATCCCCAAAATTACCATTCGTTATTCATATCGGGATATAACAGCATATTTCACTAACATACATGATGAAAAACAGAGGGCCAAGCCTTAGCCCTGGAAGATACTACTGGTGATGTTCTTAGGATCGGAGAAGTTTTGCCGTATTTCCACTTCTTGGGTTCGATCTTTTAGGATGGATGTGATGCATTTATGTATTTTACCAACTATACCTAAAGTCTTTAGTTTAATTAAGAGAGAAGAGTTTTGTGCTTTCTCAAACCCTTTGGTGAAGTCAAAGTAAAGAGTCACAACTATTTTCCTTCCACTCCCACTGTTCATTTCGCAGTGTTCAAGGTAAAAGGTTATGCATGACGTTTTGGAAATAAACCCATATTGTGAAGATACAATCAATTGGTGCTTATCTAGATGGTTGCCAGTTGCCTTCTCTTTAATCTTCTCCATAGTTCTAGATAGGACGGAAGTGTGCTTAACAGGGTGTTAATTGTCTATACTTAGTCTGTACCTCTTTTTAAAGTAAGGGATAATGTATGTAGTTTTCCATTGACAAGGAAAAAAAATGCCTGGATCAAAGGACAGGTTGAATATTCTGGTAAGCAGGATGTGAATGTCAGATCCCCATATTTCACTAAATAAGCCGGTATTTCATAATAGCCACTTCCAAGAGAAGGTTTTAATGATCTTATTGCCAGTGTACATAAGTAAAAACTGCTGAATATGCGTTCATTCTGACTACATTCAGTGAATGCCCGAGCAAATGTATTGTTAAGCAGTCCACACAGTTTTTTTGGTCTCTTGTTAGAGCATAATTGACCTTTATGACAGTAGGAGTATTAGAGTGATTACAGAGTTTCTTCTCTAAAGTAGCAAATAAAAAGCTATTATTATTTCGTAAATTGGAACACTATCGTTTAGCTCCTAATTCTTTTGTTTGTCGAATGCTTTTAATATTTCTAAAAACCGGTCGGATATTAGAAATAGCTGAATAGTTACGCTGAACAAACAACCTTTTTCGCAACTCACTTTATATCTGAATTCGATGGTAATATAATCACAATAAAGGACGAATGATTGATTTGTAGTAATTGAAGCAATTAGGTTCAGACAGGTCCTGAAATTGAAATAAAGAAAATCTAGTGATGTTAACGTCATCAGAAGAATAAAATTCATCCCGACTAAGACCACGTAGAAGAATTTAGGAGTAGGACCAGTTGGTGTTTGCAAAGCTACATATGGAATATTTGAGAACTTTTGTTGCATTAGAAGTACAAGAGCACTTCCATACAATGAGCTGCCAGTCTACAACGTCGTGAGCACTGCCTGGAAATTAAGGACTAGTGTATTTGATATATAGAGGCATTGTGTATGAAAATTAAGTCTAATAGACTAGGATTTCTGGTAGCCTTGTTGACTATCTGTGTCAAGCAGTTCATTCCTAGTACTTTGATGAGTTTTCCAAAGTAAGAATGACCACGTAATGGATTCCAACTAGCAGACGGCACATTTAAATTCCCACCCATTAAATTAACAACGTGTAATGACGATAATTATGTGAATACTTGGTTCAAATGTGTATCCATTGCGCGAGCGGCACTTGGTGGTATATAGGAGGATAACTGATTCTTATCCTTTATTTTATTGTCATCCACTTTTTTCCCTTTTGGTCCATCTTTATTTCACCTCTATTTGCTGCTGGGGTTATTGAAAAATGTATCGTTTCCAACAAAAGTAGTCACCATACAGGCTTCAATCTCCGTCAAGTTATTAACTCCGGCTCGAAGCCACCAAACCAGACTAAATTTGACATTCGTAGTTTTAAATGATGGATTAATCTTAGAAAACCATTGCAAACCAAGAAGCTATGACAATCTTGACGTATATTTGTGAGTAGTGCAAGAATCAAGAGTCTAAAAAATAGATCAGAAGGAGTGCAGTTCTATATACAGTCACCAATTCGGAGAAATTCCAGAGAACAATCCTTTTGATGAAACCAGGGAAAAATCACTAGATATCACGCAACTAACTGTGATCAGTTAAGTGGTTTTTTATCCTCTTCATACAAGGCTGAGTATTAGGTTGTAACTTAAGGTTTTATATATCATGACACAGGCGTATGAAACGAGCGGTTTTTGTATTCTCTCACAATTCATGACCGTCCGAGCACGAAAATCTTTAAAACGGCACGAAAACAAAGCATCATGATTTCTAAGCAAACACTAATTTTCAGAATCAATTTCCTTATAAAGTAACCCTATTTCAGAGTGTATTTGTTTGAATTGATAATAAGTTTTTTAAATCAGGCGTTATCCTTCTTGTGATTGGCTGCCGAGATCGGTGCTGACTCATCGCTTGCTTCAGAGTACATACGACTTGTCCTTGTGCGCACAAAGCGCTTCCTTTGTGTCCTGAGGCGATCAGGGGTATTTCTGATCTTCAATGACACGTGATTACCAATGCCAGATAACAAATGTGACGAACCATTTGCTCAAAATAACAGTGATACTGTGAAGTCAACTCGTCCTTTGCATGTGATTACTCAATATGCGAGAGCGGATGTTTCTGAAATACATTCACCTGGCAGACCAACCAGTTTAGGACTATGTTTAACAAACGCTTCAAATCTGACAGATCTGAAGAGCTGTTCCTTGTCGCTTCGTAATGTTGTATCTCAAGAAGCTTGTTATCAGCCGTGGACGGTTCGAGCTGTAGACACCTCGGAGTTTGAGAAGCTTCTAGGACATCTTGGCAACAATGGTTCTACACCAGTAACCCCAACTAGTTTCTTAAACCCAAACAATATAACAGAGGATCAAGAGTTGTTTGCAGAGTAAGTTATGATTTCATGTTGGGCTAGAAATATCCGTACTTGTAATTATTTTCTGAAACAAACGTCATCCCACTTTAGCTTACTCGGTAATTCATACCCTTTCTTCAGTCACCAATTAAAGAGGAACGCAAGTTTAGCACTGACTACCGTAGTATTACCCAGATGACAGTCCTGTTTGGTGAAGACGCTGATAAAATGCAGTCTTTTGGCAGCACTGAGCAACAATGCCAGAATGTTTGGAATGCGCTTCTCTCCCTCTAAATGCAAGTTGTTGCTTCAGGACTGGTCTGCGTCAACACCTGAACTAAGGGTAGGGAGTGAAGTAGTCGAACGCGTTGACAACTTCACTTATCTTTGAAGTCTGATCAGCCCCAATGGGTTGGTGTCTGACGAAATCTCAGCACGGATTCGAAAAGCTCGCTTGGCTTTTGTCAACTTACGTCACCTATGGCAAAGGCGAGATATCCGTCTATCAATAAAAGGACGAGTATACTGCGTGGCAGTCCGTTCTATTTTAATTTACGGCAGCGAAACATGGCCATTAAGAGTAGAAGACACTCGTAAGGTATTAGTATTTGACCACAGATGCCCTAGAAATATTGCTGGCATCTGCTGGGATCACCAGGTAAGTAATAGTGAGGTTATACGTAGGGTATTAGGGAATGATGGTAAATCAGTCGATGAGGTTGTGAATCTTCATCGACTGAGATGGTTGGGCCACGTGTTACGTATGCCCAAACACCGATTACCACGACGTGCAATGCTAACCGGTGTTCGGGATGGTTGGAAGAAAGTTAGGAGCGACCAAACCAAAACGTGACATTAGTGCTTGAAGTTACTAACTTCTAGTCTGAGCCATGTTGGTAGATGCAGACTACTTGCTTGGGGTCTGCGTGACTATCGTAAATAATGGTTGGAGACTCTTGGTGATATGGCTCAGAATCGATCACAATGGCGTAGGTGTATACGCTCTCTATCTTCTCTTAAGCTAAGAGATTAAAATTGCTTCATGTCTTTCTTTCTACGAACTAATTCTTTCTTCCTGTACTATATCCTTATTGCAATCTTTCTTTTATATATTACCACCTCTGAATTAACTACTTTTATGAATCCGGTGTCCATCTTGTTGTGTTAATGAGGTATGGCAACTTGGACCGATGCATGTGTGCCTGTTCCTACGTTGTAGCTGACTGACCCTGGCATCTTAGACCGTGTGGATCGATCTGATCACAGTAGAACATACCTGTTTCTCATTTTTCTCCGAATTTTGAGCTCAGTTTTATCGTATACTTTTCGTTTCATACAAGCTGTTTTCTTTCGGCCTATTGCTGTCTAGTAAAAAGAGTCAACCTGCTGTGCTCGACTTCCGTCTTGTAGATATCTTTGAAGTCACAAATGATAGGTGTCTATATTGTTGCTAGCCGTCATAAAACCACCCCTAATTGTCCTACACTCTTATAGATATAAATATCTGAATTTGTCCTTTTATCAATGACTAAACTTGATGCTACAAACGTTGGTTCGTCTTGGGTACATTTCAAGGTGCGTCTATTCTTTTGAAGTGACAAAAAACGTATCCACACTTCAAACGAAGTCGAGTAGTTACTGAAAATCCGAATAGACATTCGTACCATTAAATTGAATAGAGCACATCTCAGAGTCACCGTGTATTGTTTAGATAGTAAGAAATCAGGGGATCCAAATTTTTCTGCCAGTGACCCTTATAACTAAGGCTTACTTAATCTATTTAGCTAGGATCATTTCGCAAATAAATTACATTTTATCTATCAATCCACTATTATCTGGCCAGTTTGAAGATCAAATATCTTCCGCGAGAGTTAGTTTATCCCAATCATAGACTTCCCCAAGACATTTACATCGTCAATAAACTGGGTGGTCTCGGAAAACATTCACGTAGTTCTTTTGTGTATATTAAAAAGAACAACGGATCTATAAATGTTCCATACTAGACACTAATAAAGTAAAACAATTTAAAGTAGCCGATCAGCAAAGATGGCAAACCTCTGTTTAGTGGTGAAACTGACTAACTTGAAGGCCCTTTAAAATAAATGACTCTCATTGTGTAACAAATCTGGGGAGCTTAGTAAATAACAGGTTGCAGGTTTGTCACAGAAAGTTTTAAAGATAATTCTATGCGATCAACCGTTTTAAATGTAGCTCTCTTTGCGTTGCAAAATTTGACCACAGTCCTTTGACTAGTCACGTTCACTGATAAAGCAAAAATCTCATTATAATTATAGAAAAATTAGATATATGATCAAAATTCTTTAGTCTCAGACTCCATAATAAGCTAGTTATTTGCTTCAGAAGATTTTTGCAACCCAGTAGCCAACTACACGTCAATGTACCCGACTTTGTGTATTTACTCGTTACTCTGTGACTCACACCTAGTTATTGAGCGTCGATCGCCTCGTCAGTTAGGTCATCCCTGTTAAGATGTGTTTCTTATGATCGTTATTTAACTTGCAAACCTATTCGTAGATTAGCATTTTCTCGTCGAACTACTAGTAAGTAGCTTGAAACAATATCTCTTTGTCATGCATGGCATTGTTCTTTCTGTCAGAAGTCTACTATTATAACTAACGTGTTCAACTCTAGGTCAATAAAATTCTTTAAAGCTGGTTTCAGTCCGTTTTTAAATAGTCATGTATTTTTAGAGGAATTAAGGTGTTCACAGTTCAATCAAACTCATTTATTGTGAAAGTGAATAGTCTATTTATAATCTGATAACATTCCATAACTTGTATTTTGTGTGGTTTCATATCATACAGAGTAGCAATTCACTAATTCACTTTCTTCCTTTGTTCATTCAGTAGTGGTAATATCGCAAATAACATCTAGATTTCGTTTGTTGAACTTATGGGTACAACCCTGCAGAAACAGCTGTTAATGAATTTGCAACTATAAGCCTAAAGCGGACTTCTCTCCCAACAGTTCTCGATTGCAGTAGTTATTATTAAGTCGGTATTTCTTTTATATTACCGAAGTTATTTGTATCTGATTAAATCATAGCAGAAAGTGGTATGAGTGTGTTGACTCAAGTTGTCACCCTTTTGTTAAGAACAGTAAGGGAATATAACAAATTAGGACAGGTTAATTAATTCGGGCTATATAAACTATGTAGTAGTAAAACATTCATTTGACAAAATAGGCTGTAAGTGCGCCTGTACTTTTAGGAGCTATTTTAACCCACCCCTCCTGTTTCCAGTCACTAACTTCTCTTGTCAGAAACATGAACGATCGATTTTGAGTTTGTTGTTCCATCCTAATTCGTGAAATTATATTGTCTTTGTTGAAGTACAACTAGATTCCTTCCAGTTTGAAGTTATCTTAGAGGCGTGTAGAAAATGAATAACAGTAAAAGTCAGATTCACCACGTAAATTAATCGACTATCGTTCAGTCATAGCTGTAAAATTTATTCAACTTTTTACGTTTTTGTCAATTGTGACTTAGTTTAGTCGTATTTCTGACTGCACTGAGTTGTGACGGTAGCAAGATGCTTTTCCCAGATAGACATCATTTGGAACAATACTGCCTCCCCACAAGAAAGGAGGGGTAAGGGAAAATCAGCCCTAAAAATAGCACATCTCACTTTGCCCCATAAACTTCTGTCTTTGACAGTAAAGCCTTTAAAATACACAGCTAGCATATCAAAAAGTACACTCAAAAAGGCTGGGCGTGTACGGCCCCAAGAAATTGTCTCTTAGTCTACATAGTCATACTTTCAGGTCATTAAAACCACTACTCATCTAGTTTTTTTCTCGGATGCCTCAAAAGGTATCGTTTGACGGTCTGGAAGGTTGGACCGGGAAAACAGCTCACATCTAACAGCACTCATGATCATCTTGTTCACAAACAAATCCCTCCTTAACTTCCTAATATTTCTTCTATTTTCACTCGAAGTCCTCATTTTTTATCTTCAGCCTCCCCCTTATTACTCATCTTTGTTGGCGATTTGAGCTTAGAAAATTATTCCTGGAGTTCTTGAAGTTTGTTTTATGGTTTTCACTGTTCAGATCTTATATCAAACTAGATAACAAGCTTCATTAACTAAGGCTTTAGATTTTTGTGCCATCGATATATGCTGCGTCTTCAAAATACGCGTACAGACTCCAAGCTTGATCATTTACCGACCTCAGTCAATATAAAGAATCGGATCGACTGACTACTAATGTATATAAACATCTGACTTCTACTCGTAGTCTAATTGGGTAGGTGTGGTATCAAGTTCAGAAGGCGAGCACACTTTCTTGGACCGGATTCTAATAGACAGTCATTCGTGCTTTGTCCAACCAAACGAGACAATAAAAACACGGAATGATATGGACACACACTTTTGCCCTGTCTACTAACTCAGATCGACTACAATTCAGATAAAGGGAAAAATGAGTTAGCGTTCCGTCTTCCTTCAAAAGTCAAAGCTCAGACGTAATTTTGGAAATGTCATAACTAATCTAAAGCAAGGGAAAGAAGACCCGAACTGATGAACTTCGGGAGTTTTTAAGAATGGTCCTCCAGTTTTAACAATTTAGTTGATTGAGATATTGGCTAGGGTCTGGGGACTGGACCTAATCCGACCTGACTGATCTGTCGCTGATCGTTATCAGTTATAAGAAAGGATAGAAATCCTCTTTTGATAACCATAAAGGGAGTAGTGTCTAAAATATTATCTTCAATAATTATCCGACACATAACTGTACTGGTTTCTAATCTGGATGTAAATATCTAAATCAACTGTCCACCCTTCGTCGGGTTTCGGAACATAGACATACGACCACCCGATTATAGTTGTATTTTTTGACTTCAAAGCACCCTTCGACTCAGGTGATTGACAGGTTTAATGGCAACCTTCTTCGGGCTCTACTCGAACACTACTGGTCGACTCACTGCTTATGACGAACTGTTATCGTAATTGATGACTTGAAATGATGTTCACCAGGATTGTCCACTCTTTTGTCATAGAGATGACGCTCAGTAA